GACCCCCGCGTTGGCCCCAGGTCGGTCAAAACCTTCTCTCAGGAGGTGCCGCTCCTCCTGCGCCGCCGCGCCCACTCCGGGGCCAGGCCCTTCCCCTGCGCCCACTGCGGCAAGAGCTTCAACTGGAAAACGAACCTGACCACCCACCTGCGCAGCCACGCTGGGGAGCAGCCCTCCGCCTGCCACCAGTGCGGCCAGTGGTTCGGCGACCGCGGAGACCTGCTGCGGCACCAGAGGGCCCACGCGGGCGGCGGGCTGCCGACCGGCTACGGCAACGGGGAGACCTTCAGCGAGTTCCTCCAGATCCACGAGATGCTGATCTCCCGCACGCACGCACGCAAGCCCCTGGGTGCCCTCACCAAGTACAAATGAAAGCTGGCTGCAGGGCTGGGGCGGCTCGGGCAGCGCGGGAGCAGGGGAGGACGCCCAGCCCTGTCTCCCAGCACGTGGCAGGATAGATGACCCTGGCAATGCAGGTACGCCAGCGGGGCTACACCCTGGTGCGGGGAGCACAACCCTGGTGTGGGGAGCACGACCCTGGTGCGGGGAGCATGACCGTAGTGGGGGGAGCGCTCTGGAGCCCCTGGGTGCAAGCTCCTCCCCCAGGATTTTTCCTTTGGCTGTTTATTGGTTCCCATCCAGCTAGTTCCAGCTGCTGCTGCCGGATGGAGGGTGACAGCTGCCCCCTGGGTGCACTGGTCCCATTGTTTAGGCCGCTGACTCCTAGCCATGACGTCCTGCGGCACGTTCCCAGCAGCCAGTGCTGCTCTCTGAGCTCTCATGTCGCCGACCCTGGCAGGAGAGGCTGCTGGACATGCCCCGATAGCCAGTACCTAGCAGAGAAGAGCGGGGCCTAGGAGAAATCTTCCGGCGGAGCCCCAGGTAGCACGCAGGCCAAGGGGTCCCGAGGGGCAGATCTCGCTGCAGCAAGGCCCACGTCGGGGAGAGAAGGCAGCATTGCTGAGGAGGTGCAGATGGCAGCTTGCTGTACTCCAGCCCACGACTGCTGACTCTAGGCTGGGGTTTCAGGGGAGTGCAGGCGACAGCAGGCTGGGTTAGCCCGAGAGAACCCCAGGGTCTGTCCGGAGTCACAGTACAGGGGCTGCCCAGAGCAGCCTGGCTCGCTGGTAAAGGGCCTGTAGCCGACCTGGCGAAAGCCTGGCTAGGGGCACCATTGACCAGTCTCCGTTCTCCGGTCTCGTTAACCAGCCAGGACCGACTCGCCGGTGGGTGCTTGTGAATCCCAGCTGCCCGCCAGCGTGTCCTAGCCGCAGTGCCAGCCTTGCCCGTCCAGCCTCCGGTCACGCCCTTCTGACGACCCTCTTGCCTTGTAAGAGCCATAGACACGCAGGGCTGGACAGGGCCTCGGGAGGTGACCAAGTCCAGAGCCCGGCTGAGGCAGGACCACGAAAGCCCAGCCCCGCCCTGACAGGTGTTCATCCAGCGGGTTCTTGAAAACCTCCAGTGCCGGGGCCTCCATGACCTCCCTTGGGGCCTGTCCCAGAGCTTCGCTGCCCGGAGAGTTTCTGCTACTAGCGACCGAAATCGCCCTCGTCCCCCACTTCAGTTTGAAGCTGGCTTTAGCAGCAGCTCTCAGCCTGGCCAGAGCCTGAGCCAGTGCTGGGTCCCCTCTGCAATCTGGGAACGCCGCGTTTCGCAGCGTCGAGCCGTGTCCCCCCGGGCGGCTTTGGCGGCACCAATGATGCTGCAGCTCGAGTGGGCGAGGAGGGACGGGCGAGGCGAGTTAGCAGCACCAACGGGGTCCTGCTTAAAGAACATTTTCTTTACTAAGACTGTAACTCACCAGCTCAGGTGAGAAATGTGCCACCTTCACGCAGGAAGGGAAGGGAAGGGCTGGCTGACGAAGCAGCGTATGCACTGAAACTCGGCGCGGTACATAAATACACTCTCCCGCTGTCAGACCCAGTGTCCAATAAACCCGTCCAGTTCTCGCTCGCTGGGCTCCGGTGCAGCATGTCTGTGAAATCGCGGAGTCCCCCGGGGGCATAGGAGAACCTGGTGCAGCACCGGCTTTTCTGGGTTCTTCACCTCCCCTGCACGTGCCGGGGGCCAAGGGTCAATCAGATTTTCTCCCTTGTTTGTGCTGTATTTCTGTAGGGCCGTGCCCTACCCAGCTCCACCCTTCCCCTCCTGAGCCCTACCCAGGCCTCTGCATGTATCCAGTGCGACCCACCCGTCGGGGAGCTCTGCACCCCTCCGCTGTCCGGGGGTAATGGTACAGAACCACCCAAAGCGGCTTTCTGCCAGCGCTGAGCAGGGACTCAGTGACTCGGCCTTCCAAGGAAGTGAAGCTGGCAATGCAGAGGTGCGTTGCCTTTATTCCCCAGCCCCGTTACATGGGCAGGGCTGGGCGAGAGAGAGACGGGGTCTGTTCCCCTGAGCCCTGCAGGGCCAGTGGTGCCTGGGTGTAGGGGCGGGTCTGTCCCCGGGGAGCCCTGCGGGACTGGGTCAGCTAAGGGAGGGGGCCCTGGGGAGCCCCGTCAGTGTCGGGCCAAGCTGGCTAAGGGAGGGGGCCCTGCGGGGCCAGCTCGGCTAAGGGAAGGGGAGCCGAAGTCCGAAGGGGAGCTCCCCCCAGGAGCCCTGCGGGGCCAGGCTGGTTAAGGGAGGGGGGCCCTGGGAAGCCCTGTGGGACTGGGTCAGCTAAGGGAGGGGGCCCTGGGGAGCCCCGTGGGACCGGACCGGCTAAGGGAGGGGGGCCCTGGGGAGCCCCGTGGGACCGGACAGGCTAAGGGAGGGACCCCGGGGTCTGCGCCCCCGCAGCAGGTTCGGT